TTGCGCTAATTTTAAAATAATATTTTATTAATATCCGGAGCTATCTCTGCGTTCGGTCACCTGACCCAATAATTTGCCCTGCCAACCATGCCGACAACTTGTTATTACCACCGCCTGCCATCGCCATCTGATATAATATTCACTAAAACTAGATTACTGCACATATTTTTATTTCATATTAAAATATAAATAAATAAAATAAAATAAAAAAAAAACAAAATAAAATAAAAAATGATCATAAACAGGCCTTTGTAAAAATCTATTTCTCATAATAAAAAATTACAGTTAGATAAATATGTCAACATTCTGACAAATAAAATAGCGAAAATGTCCCCAAGATAACAATTAATGCTCTATCGAAAGTGATTATTCTTTGCGGACACCGAATCGTTCGGATGCGAATCAGAATGTGTCACATCATCTCGGTACACTATGGTACACAATTGTGATACATAAAAAAACGAGTGATATGACACGTTCTGATTCACCTTCAAATAATATCCGTATCCGCACAGAATAATTTCACCTATTGAGAGGTTCTATAGGTAACACTCAGCAAATCAAACAAGAACCTGTTCAATCTGACAAACTTAAAAGCTGTACAACTTCAATAACAGTACAAGCAAAAGGCTCAAACAAGCTCCAAACATCTCAAAAAGAATTAGCAATATTACCCACAGTTACAATAACCAATTTCCATCTAATTTACATCTTTTTTTATCAGTTCTGCCACTAAAAAAAATTAAAAATAACATTCCTATATGAAAAAAAAAAAAAAACAGAAGAATTATGACGTGTGAGTTTTTTTTTCACCATTTTATTATGCAGAGCTGATTCTTGTGATACTTGAATAGTCTCCAACATTAGCAACAAACAGAGGATCCTTATCTTTGCTGGAGTTTCCTGATGCCTGACTTGCCTGCTCCAACTCCTTGGTCAAATCTTCCATGGTTTTCTTCAAGTTAGCTCTGTTCATCTGACCTCCTTCCCCCATTGACACACCAACCATTGTGATTTTTGGAAGAAGAGGATTAGGGGGAACTTTGTTAATATCATTCTCATCAGATTTCATCATTCTGTCATAGGGAATCATAGAAATGCATATAAAGAAGGTAGGGAGGAGATGAATTCAGCAAAATGGAGAGATTCTATACCTTGGATTGGATATGTTGCCTTTAGATTTATGTTGCTTTCCCTGTAGCCTTGACCATGGATTTGATAACCAGTCTCCAAATGGAAACTGATAGTTCATTTGACTAATTGGTTGGGCATTATCTCCCTTAGTGCTTTCAATTGAATCAGTATCGGAAGCAAAGGGATTCAGTCTGTCCTCATTATGCTGGAGAATTTGGGGATTAGTAGCAGAACTGGCTAATGCAGAATTCTTCTGGAAACAAGCTGCGCTCCTGTTAATATTACCGTTAAGCTAATGTAATTTAAGTAGGAGAATTGGAGAAGTTTATTCAAGAAGAAACAAATCAAAACGATTCAGTGTAAAGTCAAAACAAAAACTCTTTCGATTAGTTAGATAGATGTCTTGAGCCCTGAAAAACCTACTAAATGACATATCATACACATGAAAAAGATCTTGTTAGCTCTTGTGAACGTACAAATAGTTTTATGGGTAGGCTAACACCTAGGAAGAGGATGATCATTCTTCACCAATTTAAGTTTCTAATTCAAATGTAAGATCAAGTTTGTCCCAACCTCTCCAACATCATCAAAATTGACAATATGCATGAGTCAGACGACTTTATAATATTTTAAGAATGACCATTCTTCATCAATTAATATTGAAGATATATATATATCACACTACCCAAACCATCCATTAATTATAACTATAAACTTGCTGGATCGATGAAAAGGAAATTATAGAATTCAAAAAATTTCGAATAATTCAATTTCAAAATTAGAGATAAAAATCAATGGTCATAGTTTTGATCTTTGGATTCTCAAAGATTAAAATACTTTAATTAAAAAAGTTTTTCAGGGTGTCATATGCTAAACTTTTGATATTATCATCTTGAAATATAAGACCAAGATCATCAACGTTGATTTGAAATCTAATAGCAATTTAGTGATCAAATTTATTACTTATTATGAAGATTTGACCATTGACTTTATCTAGGAGGCTCTTCCATTGGAGGCTAATTCTAGAGCTAGCTACATCAAGCCCAAGATTAAGCCCAAACTAGACCAAAGCATATTAAATGTTAATGTAGATTGACAAGCACACATGATTGGAATTTAAAGTTGGTGAAATCTGCTTTGCGTGCACAATGTAGATCTTGGTGTTTAGTATCGGTAGAATCGGAGAAATTTTACGCACCTTACATTATTGTAGCATGAGGAAAGTCGATGTAGACATGAGAAAGACTGCAGAATCTTAAGACCATTTAGGGCTTGACTGATGAAAGTTTGTATTCGAAAATCCATAACAAAAAAAAGAAAGGAAAAAAGAAGAGAAAATAGTAAAGAAGTACGAAAGGAGAATAAGGAAGTGACTTTCTTTCAACACTTGAATGCCAAGATGAACCCCAATAAGTATATCGGGAGATTTTGCCAACAATGCCACCATATAACACACAGTCAGTACCTATAATAACATGTAAGAGGAATAGAAGATTAAACGGCAGGGACTATATAATGAAGTCAATATAATCAACACGAGTAGTAGTGGTATCATTATTATATGTTCAGCATTTTCATCCTTAGAACTAATAATAGACCTAGATCAAGCATAAGCACATGGAATTATAAGAAAAGAAACCAATGAATCTCAGCATATGAGTGGAATTTGTTCTCAAATTTCGAATGACCAGACTCAAACTCAGGCATATATCATACTAAAGTTCATGCAACCGAAATCCCTATCAATGAAAGTCATCATTACGTAAAGGCCCATTGACAAAATAATCTTCTAAGGATTATCCCCATAAAAGAGAGAATTATACACATGGTCATGAACTTCAGGAGGTAGATTTAACATTTGAGGCTAATGGGGACGTTGGGATAATATATGAGAACTAGATTTTTTATTTAAAAATGGTTTGAATTCCAATAAGAGGTTGGTTATCCATGGTTTAAGAAGTAGAGTTTATATTGGAGAGGTTTTTATGCTTTATGCTTTTAAAATTTTGGAATTATGATGTGGATGATTATATGACGGACATGATGGAGAAAAGATGGCTATATTGGATTTTCAAGAAGGGAGAGGGACATAGCAATCAAGAAAAAGAGAAAATTCGTTGCGAAGATGAGAACAGAATTTTAATTTTGGGACTCAAAAGTTATGATCACAATTTATGTTATTAGTTTTAATACCAATTATTGTAGATTGGTAACATCGAATTAGAGCTATAATCTAATGTAATATCATGGAATAAACTTGAGAGAGACTGAAAGGTCAAGATGGAAAGATAAAGGCCTTGGGAGAAAAAGGCAAATAAAGGAGAACAAAGAGTGGAATTTGGAAATAATACTTGAGAGGAACGAGAATGGGGAAGAACCGAGAAAGCAAAAGGTGACCAACTGCTATTTATTATTTCATAGCTATGCATAATCTAAAATGCAGCCATAAGGAACTCTTAATATAGAAGAGAGTCCTTTTACTTAAAAGAGTAAAAAATGTTCAAAGGAATTAAAATAACCATCATAATCTTCTTATAACAAGAAATAAATATGAAATAACAGAAAATGATATAAATAATAAATACAACATAACATAAACTAATACGAGACAGGCTAACAATCTAAGGTGCTCCCAATGATTTAATCTAGAAAAGGATCTATGGCTCATGATGATGCATCACTTCTTGATTTAAGGGCTCTCACAACATTGGAACGGGCTAACCACATAGCCAAGAGACATGAATGGATCAAAATGGTGCCCTAAATTTGGGCTAACCAAGCCCTAGATCAAGTTAACCTGCATGATGAAAAGGACCCGTACATGGCTTGACCAAGCCTATAAGGAGGATGGTTGTTTGGAATTAAAAAGGGAGATAATCTAACCTCAGTAGGCTTATCTAACCAAATAGCTCAACAGGGCAATGTGGAAGACCCTATTATTATATTTTCCTTGTATGATACTTTAGGTACATAAATAATCTAATATCTTTTATGTCATTATTTTGAGTAATCTGTCTCCATATGAGATTACTTGACACAAATAATCAAGAATTTTATACATTTATGAATTCAAGGCACATTGATAGCAATTTAGTACTTCATTAACCATAAGTAATCAATTAACCTTATGAGTGTTTGTGCATTATCCTCATTGCATTTATCTTATTAAGAAAAGAGCTACTAACTAATCATGGGCATGAATGCAAAATGCTGGTTAGTTGTGATACACTAAAAATGACTAAAATTCAAGATTGCAAGAGTACAATCTGTTAATAAATTTAGCCCGTTTTCTCATGTCAATAAAACTACGAAATGTGTTCTAGCACATGCCATAGTGGCACAACACAATTTATGCCGTAGGAAAGGCTACGAGCCTATGTGTTCAACCTTACAAATGTTGCAGAGAGGTAAGGCATGATTTACATTGTAGGAAATGCTATGAGTCCCACCCCAACAAATATCATATTAGTTTAGGTATGATTTACAGTGTGTAGATTCAAGAGAGATGACAAGACAGTATAAATATGTTATGCTTGATGTCATCTATGTAGTTAGTGTTTATTGTGAGTAATAACTATACTAAAGTTAGAGAAGACGGAAGAGAAGTTTTAGAAGGGTTTTTTAAGAGTGAAGGAAAGGAGTCAATTATGTGAAAACTCAAGTGAAGCGGAAGGCAAGTTTATGCAACATTGGGTGCCGACATGGGTGCAGGAGAAGAGTGTTGCTGAGGATTCACGCACTTGAGGGCACAAAGAGATGCAGGGTGTGAGCATACAAGAACAAGAGATCGGGCAGTTGCATTGAATCCAAGGGATCAATATCACAATAATGGGGGTAAGAGGTCAAAAAGAATAGAGCGAATTTGTTAAATATCATTATATTTCAATTAGATCCTAAAATGGTACAAGCAAATTGTGAAGAATGTGCTGCCAACATGAAGGACTAACCAATAATTATCAGAGTCTACTAAAGAAGAAGAAGAACAATGATGTGATCCGCCTTCCGCCAGCTGAGGGAGGGCGGGCGACCCCGCGGCGCGCGGAAACAGCCAGAACGGGCGCCGCATTGGCGCGCCCGTTCGATCCGCCGAAGCAGGTACGCGGAGCGGGACAGGGGCCATTCGGCTTGAGCGGAACCGGTCCATTTCTGGACCGGTTTGGCTCAGGTCTAGCCTGAGCTCAGGCGGTTCATTTTGGGCATCCCACTAGTGGATTTTGTTGGTCTTTTGGCTTGCTATAAGTAAGGAATAGAGGGATATTTCTAGGGCATGCATGATTTGAGTTTTCTCTTAGCCTCCTTAGTTTTTTTACCTTGTTTTTCTAGGGTTTGTAGTGGGAGACCTTGTCCTTCTCGAAGTGGACAAATTGTATCTTGTTTCTCTTGGATTTTGAATGCAAAGTTTCTTGTTCTTCCTCTCATCCCTCTTGTGTTGATTTTTTCTTGGATTTGGAGGAGAAATTTCAGTTTTGGAAGAGCATTAGGGCAAACCCTAACTTGGAACCCTAAGGCGTATCAAACAACTCCAAGATAGTTAAGATTGGTAACATAAAAAGTGGTCTACAAAAATGTAATGAGTTTTACTTTATTTTGTTCTTTTAGCAAAGTAGATTGCATCTAGATATTTTATTTTTAGGTATGTATTAGGCAGATCATATCTATCTTGTAAACTTGGTCTATACAAGTAGTATAAATAACTCCTATTGTAATCAAATAGCATGAATGAAAAATTTATGGTTTGCTCTATTTCTTTCCCTCTCTTTTATTTCCTCTTAGGAGTCCACGCCTATTTTAAAGGCGCCTCACTTTTGGGCCTCCAAAAAGCATATTAATGGTGCTCTTATTGCACTAACCTCATGCTATTGCAAGAGGTTTCTTCTCCTAGCAGTTCCTCTTCCTTTTCCACAGTCAAGCACTCAAGTTTTGCCTCCCACCTACTGCCACACCTGCACTTCATCCATTCGAGTTTCCATCCAAACCGCATTCCCTCCGCACTTCTCCTTCTCAAGATTCTGCTCGTGTCACCTTAATGTAGCCGCAGACCCTTCGCCGCAAAATCCCTCCTGACTATCGCAACAACCTCCAATAAACATTCTGGACGGGTTCTTCAGCAACCTGACAACCGCACCTCTCAACAACCAACATTTAGCCCCTTGACAACCGCCGTCCTGGATTAGTTCCCTAACCACGATCTTGTCTCAACCAACCTCATTTCCACCAATTGCCAAGATTTGCAAGATCCTTCCAACAATCCTCCAATTGTTTTTTTAATAAC